CGGAGAAACAGCCGATAAATGACACTGCGGATCACTACTTCCTCCTCCTGGGCCTCAGTTTCCCCACCTATACAAAGACTGGATCAGCTGATCTGTGGTTTCCATGTCCTGATAGACGAACTATGTCTTCCCAAATTCACCTCAAGTGCGCATGATAAGACCCGTCCGGGGCCCCATCGGACCCCAAGGCTGGTTCTTTGGTTCTTATATCCTTGCTACCATCTGGGAGGTGTAGGGACCCCGGAGGATCCAGACCCCCTCTGTGTGGTGTCCCCTCTGAGTGGCCCAAGCCGGCCATGCAGGTAACAACACACATCACAGACCCTCCACACGGAGAAAAGAAGGTTAGGAAGTCAGCAACAGGGTGGGCAGGAACCCAGTGCCCCCACTCCCAGTGCTGGTCATGTCAGCACAGCCCTCTGGCAGCAGCACTTGGCAAGGCCGGGGGCCGATCAGGCAGGAATATGACCTAAACAATTTCCAGGGCTGTCTTTTCCAGATGCTGGGCCCGCCCTGTTGTGTCTGGAACCCAGGACCCAGGCCAAGAACATTTTCCTTTACAAAGGTGCCAGGAAAGGGGCGACTTTCTACCCTGCAGACAGTTCTAGACCTCACCCATTGTCCTATGGCCAGAGGCATCCATCCCTGCATGCACCACCTCCCCCTGAAGCAGGAGGAGCACTGCCAACGTAGGTTCCTGGGGGGCTCCCAAGCCCCACCCCCAGATGGCAGCAAGGAGGGCCTGGCTTGGGCCACACCCAAGGGAGAGGCAGGTCCGAGGCCAGGCCCTGGGCTGGGTACCCGAGCAAACAGCCCTCCATCACCGCGGCCCCTGCCTCCCCGGGACAGAACGGGCTTGTCCACAGATCTGAAACAAGACAGGTGCCATCACCTGGGGGATCCTACCAAGCCAGCCACAAGCCCCTCAAGGGTTCTGTGGTCCCCCATGAATGGGAAACACCTGTTCTTCCTCAGGACCCCCTCACATGTGCAGCAGTTGTCTGTGGGGTTGAAGGCCTGTCCAACCTGCTTTTGTTTCCCCTCATTGGGTTTAAGGCAAGACAGCCAAGCGGTCAGGAGCGTGGGGTGCCTTGTCCTGGCCCTCGACTCACCACTGTGTGTCCCAGACAAGTGACTTAACTGCTCAGGGCCTTCGTTTATACATCTATAAAATGAAAATAAGGACAGTCCCTTCTTCATAGAATTGTTGAGAGGATTAAATTAGTGACTACATATAAAATATGTCAATTATTAAAATTTCCTAGGGCAGAGTGTGTTCCCATTCCGTACTTAAGGAAAAGTAGAGAGAGTATGGGATTGGTCACATTCAGAACTGGGACCAGTCTCCTCACCTCCTTTGAGTGCTGGCCCCCACCTGCTGGTAATGTGCAGGCAGCTGGCGCAACACACACCTGACCCCCTCCTGACTCAGAGCCTGCTGAGGACCAGCCTGAGGGCTAAGGGAGGCAGCCCCAGGGGGAAGAGCGCTGGTCTGCAGCACCCAGCCTCTGGTCCTGCCCTGCCCGCTGCGACTTCATCAGCTTCCCTGCCACACCCCCTCCTCACCAAGGTCCCTCCAGGCTCAAGGGTCTCCGATCCCAGGAAAGTCGACAGAATGGGTGTCCCCGTTTGGTTAGGTGGCCACACGTGAGGTCATTACCAGGACACTGGAACCACACAGAGCCTGAAAAAGCGTTTATGAATCAAACTGTTATAATGTGATGTTTTGCAAAGGAGAGTCTTTTACTGGATAAAATATCCTGGCAAGACGACCGTGCGTGCTAGTAGACCTGTGTTCGTAAAACTGTATCTGCAAGGCTGTCCCACTCACTGCACCCGATGCTCAGAGCCCTGCCTTCAGAGGAACAGGAGGGAAGAGGAGACATGTCCACGTTCTCTTCCACCTTCTGGGCCCCTGCCTGTGCTGTTCCCTCTGCCTGGGGCACTGTCCTCCCAGCCACCCTGCCCAGAAACCCAGCAGCGCCTGCTGTATCTGCCAGTCTACAGGCTGTATCCTTCGCCCTTGGGGAGGACGGCCCTGACTCTCCGCCTGTGGGGTTGCTTTGTAATGGCCTGTCCACTCGTCTGGCTCTCCTGGGGGGTGGGAGCCCCACAGGCAGAAGGGCCCGGCCTCGCCTCTTCCCTGCCGTACCCCCACGATTTAGACCAGCATCCGGCCCGGAGCAGATATCTAGTGTGTAGACGCCTGGGGAGGCCAGCGGACGCCCCTCCGCGTGACCTTTCCCAACACGGCTTTGGCTCTCGACAGCTGTGGGTTCTGAGGCCCTCCTGGGGAAATCAGTAGGACTTTCAGAGCACTCTCGGGGAAAAGGACCCCGTCTTACCCTAAGGGAGGGTGCCACACAAATAATAGGTCATACTAATCCAGCTGCCTTGGCAGACGTGGCCCCATGTCTCCCCCCCCCACCCCCAGGCCCCGAGGCACACTAAGAAGTCGGTTTCTGCTCTCTTCGTTTTACAAATGAGGAAACCACCAACCCATCCTGTGGGCTTTTCCAGCCGGATACAGGCAAAGTTGTTTTCCCGCCCCACAAAAGCTCGTGGCAGCCCGCTGGGACCCCAAGATGAGTGAGCCATGCTGTCCCTGCTCCCCTGCCCCCACTCACCACAGTCCAGCGGGGGTGGCAAACGGAGCCCTGAGCTGGGGGGCCTCAGGCAGAGCCAGGAGAAGGTGTCACCCCAAGCCATGGGCCCCACAGGAGGGGCCGCGGCACTGCCCCCCACCCCGGGGCACCCCGAGCCTCATCTTTGTGCATCCAATTCCCTCCAGCAGCCCCCCCCACCCCCAGCCCCCTGCCTGGGAAAGTTCCAGCAGCGGTGCAGGCCACGTGCTTCCAAGCCAAGCCCTCTCCCTCTCCGGTCTTTGTTCTCCCTCCCAGAGACTTGCTCTGTAATCAGTCGGCAACGCTGCCCACAGGAGCCAGAGGCCAAGAAAGTTTGGAGAAAGCACAGCCGTGTTTCCCCAGTGCCCTCCTCCTCTCCACTCCCGCCCACCCCGCTCTCAGGAGAGCCCAGCAGGACACACGGCGGCTCGGCTCTGTCCCCTGGCACGGAAGGTCAGCGCCCTCCTGCACTGCTGTGGCCAGGCCAAGCTCGTCGCAGCAGATTAGTGAAAGGGCCCACCACCGGGTGGCCTTTCCCAGGGTCACTTCTAAATTACGTGTCCTGGTGCGCCCCCACCCCCCGGCTCTCCAGGGGTGGGCCCGTGCCACCTCAGGGAACCTGACAGCCTCCAAGCTTGCAGCCGCAGACACAAACCAGGAAGCTCTAGCTCCCTCCCCCCAAACCACACCAAACTTGCGGAAACTCAAAAGAGGGGCCACCCCAAAAGAAACAGAGGGCCACGCCAACCCGGGTACGCAATGAGCAGGTCTCCTTTATCACATCCGCCTGAAGTCAGGGCCTCCTCGATAAAGACGATGTGAGCCCCTCCAGCCTGACCAGCACAGTGATGGAGGAGCGGGTACTCAGCCTCGGGAGAGTTCACCTATGCCTTCTCTCTGGGCCTGCCTCAGTTACCCCATCTGTAAAATACCCAGGGGGCCCTGGGGCCCTTTCCATTTCCAACAAGAGTCTTGTGTGGTCTCCAATCAGAGCCCCCCACCCCACGGGTTTTCACTCCAGCCACCGGTCACCTTCTGATGAATGCCTGTCTTCCCTCTGCCTGCCTGACCCGCTCCTGCCCCAGCACCGTCTCTTCCAACAAGCCTCCAGTGAGCCCCTGGGTGTACCAGGATGGCTCTCCCTGCCAACCCCAAGCCCTGTGCCTCCCATGACATCTCCCCCACAAGATGCCCCCCAGCACACGCCCCAGACAGAGCCAGAGGCCCAGGATCTGCTGCAGCCAGTGAGCAAGCCAAGAAACCTCCGCAGAGATCTGCCCTCTGCCCCCAACCTCTCCCAGGTGACCTTTTGACCAAAGTGGAGGGTGGTCACCTGAGAGTTGAAAAGAAACTAAACTAAGCCAGAGATAAAGCATCTAGGATTCTGAGGGTGGTCAGGGCTCTTGTCTAGGCCTGGCCCCAGGAAGAACAAAGCCTCCAGGCAGGCAGGCCTGACTAATGACTCATGAGTCATGGGTCAGCAGAGAGGTCAGAGGCCAGGGCTCTGCTCACCCGCAGCTGCTCTAATCCACGGGGCCTAATGCATCCCCGTGCGCCCTCCCCCCCCAGCAACCCAGGAGTTAGGCCTTGAGAATTACGGGAGAAAGAAGGGCCATCCCTGTGCTGTCAGCCCTGGGCCGAGCACTCTGGCCCAGGGGTCTGCCCGGAGAGACACATGCCCCTTGCCACAGGGTGGGTGGGTGTGCAAGTGGCCTGTCCGCAGCCCAGGCTGAGTATGTAGCCTGACTGAGCCTCTGTCTTGGGACCCTCTATATCCCAGGAGGGCAGACAGAGGTTTCCCCAAACACGGCTATCTCCTTAAAAAATCTATCTCCAGACCGCTCCCTTCCTTTCTGATTTTTCAAATCCACCCCCTAACGCACGAGTGGCTTTGTCTCCTGGACAAAGTACTGTCCCCAGTCTGTCTTCTCACCAACAACCTGGGTACAACAGCCCCTACCAAGAGGTGGAGGTGGGGGCAGTGGGAACAGATAGGTGCTCTGGATGCAGAGCAGGGCACCCGGGGGCTCAGCAACCATCAGCTAGGGCTTCCTCGCTGACCTCCCAGCCTTGGCCCCCGTGGGAAGATGGGTGAGCACTAGGGTGGGCAGCAGGAGGGTGCGGGCGACGGTGGGGGCGGGGAGGAGGAAAAATCTTCTTTCAAACAAGTGCCCGAGGTCTTCCAGGTGACTAGGACCAGGGCCAGGGGTGGGGTGAGGGGAGGAGGTAAACGGCCTCAGCGCACAGGACCCCAGGACCGCCGCGGGGGCGCAGCGCCCAGACTCCCGCTACGCCTACAGGTCCAGGACTCCCGAGGAGTGCGGGGCTGGGAGGGGAGCCACCAGAGCGGGGGCCGTGGACTTGGGGCGCCCCTACCTCGGGCCGCCAGCAGCGCGAGGCCGCCGAGCAGCAGCAGCGGCAGCGGAACCCTCCTCGGCGCGGCGCGCTCCATGGGGCCGGCGGGCGGCGGGCGGCGGGCGGCGGGCGGACAAAGGCGCGGGGCGCGGGGCGCGGCTCCTGGGTTCCACGCTCCGGCCGAGCCTCCGCAGCCAACGCTGGGCCCCAGCTGCGCGGTTCAATTATCCCGCCCCGGAGGGGGGCGCGGCGGAGGCGGGGCCGCGGGGCGCGCGGTGCCCTCCCTCCCGGGCCGCCCCCCGCCTGGGGCCCGCGCACCCTGGTCCCGAGGGGGCGCGGGCCCACGGCCCGGGGCGGGAGAGGGGACCCCAAATCTCTCCCAGGTGAGGGCCGAGAAGGGGGGGCGCATTCGGGCGGGAGGCACCCCCACCCGCTGCCGCCCTCCCCCTCCCCCCAGGCGCCCGTGAAACCCGATCCCTTCCCCACCCGCCGGCCCGAGGGGCGGGCTGGGTATCAAAGGTTAGCTCCGCCCGACTCCGCGGAAAGGGCGGGGTCCCGGGACCAAGGTAGAGAGGGGTCCCGAAGGGTCGTAGGCAACTTCGGGGGAGGGGGGAGGAGACAGGGCGGTGCCCTTCCGAGGCGGGGGGTGGGGGGGGCTCCCTGCAGGACGTGGCCCGCGAGCAAAGCCCCGCACCCACTGTCAGAGCGCTTCCCGCCTTCGGCCGCCTTGCACCCACGCACCATCCTGGGGCCTGCAAGTCCCTGGCCGCCCCAGCCGTGTCCTGGCACCTGGCGCTGCCCTCAGGAGACTGCCAGTCAGGCGAGACGAACTCGAACCAACATCCCAACTCCCGGGGAATGTGTTGAACCCAGGACCCCGAAGCTCAGAGGAAGAGATTCGTTTTGCCGAGAGGGAGCAGCCCCTGAGCTGGGCCGGCAGGAATTACCTCTTTGTGCGGGAATTCATGGCTGCAACCAGACCGTGGTTACTGAAGGTGAATTAGTCTGTTGGAACCATAAATACATTTGTTTTAAACAAGGGGGGGAGGCCCAAACTAGTACAGGCGAAGGTGCGCGGAGGATGAGAGGAAACCCGTAAGAACGCCATTCAGTATGGCCCCCCCGGTGCGCCATGCCAGTCCCACGTTCACACCCCGCAAAAATGCACACATGTGTAAGCGTGCACCGCAAGCCAGGTACTAGGCTGTTGATAACAGCACTATTCCTAATAGCTTCTAATTAGGAACTGCCAGACATCACCAGCGTAGAATGAAAACATCCTGAGGCAGAAGCCACAGCTTCTCTGAAAAGTGGGTGCTGCAGGATTCCGTCTATGCGAAGGACAAGAACAGCTTAGAAGTCAGGAGAGTGATAGTCCTTGGGGGAGCACAAGGGAGCTTTCTGGGGGGCTGGTTGGGATCTGGTTTTTAAATCTGGGTATTGGTTACAAGGTTGGGTTCCCTATGGGAAAATGTATCCAACTGTTCCATCATGCTATGTCCCCTTTTCTAAATGAACGTTAGATTCAAAAATAAAAAACAAAAAGACAAAAACTCATGTCTTCACAGGATGCCTCCTAAGGTGGAGGTTTGCAGAGAGTCTAGGAATGCTCATGAAAGGGCGTCCGTCACTTGCTAATTCCTAGGCTAAGGATGCCTCCCAAAAGAGGTGGCTTGGGATTGGCCCTTGACAAATGAGTAGAGGATGCAAAGGGTTCCCTGCCCTGGGCAGCTCGGGAAGATTATCTGGTCCACTTCACTGGATGGTGGGGGGTGTCTGCAAGAGGCAGAGAGCTGCTGGCACTTGGATGGGCGTGGGTGGGGAGCTCTGAGCTGGAGACAGATTGAAGACTTGTGCTTAGGTATTGTTGTTTTTTAAGCCATGGGAGAATAAGGGGGCCCTGGAGAGAGTTTATGGTTCAGAGTAGGTGTAGTATGTGCAGTGCGTATTACACGCCTGCACATTATTTTGTTACCACAACAGCCATGGAAGGTCTTAGTGCTCCCATTCTGCAGATGAAGAAACCGAGGCTCAGAGAGGCAAGGTCACTGGCCAAATGCTCACAACTAGGTGATTGACAGTGCTAGGATTTGAAACCAGGCCGGCTGAGTCCCAGTCCTGGGCTCATCTGAGAGTGAATAGTATGAACGCTGTACATACGTTTGCTTCACCACTCCCTGGGGACTGGACATTTAGGACTTTGAAATTGGGGGGCCGGGGAGGGGGAGTGTTTAATGAACCATGCTGCGGTGAAACCTGCATGTTCTAGGCTCAGCATCTAGTGTAGAAGAGGATGCCTTAGAAGAGCAATTCTGCACCCAGAAGTGGACTGATTCACTCATGTCTCTGGAGAGAGACACGGCCAAGCCTGGAGTCTCTCCACTACTGCTCCCGCACTGAGTAACATCTTTGTTTAATTTGGGCTAGGTCCACGGGCAAAAGCAACGGGCGTGTCACTGTTTCAATGCATCATCAATCATCATCTGATGTATCACCACAGAATTTGAACAAGTTTCAGGGGCTTATTAGCCATTTGTATTTCTTTTCTTTGCAACTTCTTTCATAACCTTTACTCATTTATTTTTATAACAAAATTGTTTATTATAGTGAGTGATCGAGAAAAAATGCAGTGTCTAATAGCCTATTTATGGTGTTTATGATTAGATTCAACTATACCAATATTCTGTGGTTCAAGGGAATATTGTACCATTGCATAAAAGGCTGAATAAGATGCCTAAGTAGAAATAGGATCTTTGTGAACTAATATTATGTAAAAACAACAAGAAACAAAACAAAGCAAAAACAACAAAAAACAAAATTGAGTATGAGTGTATAGGTCCACCCTAGAAAGCCATTTTTATGTAGCTAGAGATCAAAAGGGAACTAAAAGAAATGGGGTATTGTGTTTACTAGTGAAAATTTTGTTGTTGTCATTATTATTATTATTATTATTATTATTTTTAAGAAACAGTTGCGACAGAAAGGAGCAATTGTACCAGAAACCTGGAGTGGTATAATCCCTATACCTAAACTTGACTGAGTTTCTGGGCAACCAAAGTAAAAATCAAATTATGAGCACTTAAATAATTCCTGTTTTCTCACCAAAGAGCATGCATCCTTTCGTCAGGAGAGACCAGCTTCTTCTGGCACTAAGTTCTAACCATTTTCCCTCTGGGTCCTTATGTAAGAGTCAAGAAACTTGAGGAGCGGCACATTGCATGTTGCATGTCATTTGCAGAAGATGGGACTGGTTTTCAGGGAGGTTCCACTGGGGGATTAGGGACCAGGGAGGCCCCCCCACCATCTGACCCCTGGGTCCAGGGAAAGACGACACTCCACCCCCTCCCTCGCCCCGGTTCTGCTCCAAGCAGGAAGCCATCTGTCATGTCCCACTGTGACAGTCCAGCTTTCTCCCATCTCAGAGGAGCCGAACCACTCACTGCTCCCCACCCCCCATAACAAATAGCTCTCCGTTTGTTTGAAAGATCATTGTTGGCACACGTGGACTGTTTTTCTCTAAGTCAGAAAACAAATGGCTTTGGCGTTGCCCAAACTCTGGAGGACAAGCCTCCTGTGGTTCTTGTATGTACTCCCCACCCTAAAGGCAGTTGCTGCCCTGGCCCCCCACCCTTCCAGGCGCAACCTGGCCCCGCATCCCTAGCTCACGGCTCCCAGAGCACCCAAGCACCCCCCTCCCTTCCTGCCTTTTTGCTCCGCTGGCTCCTTCTGTCCTCAGGCATCTGCTAAGATGTCACTTGGCAGAGGTCTTTCGCTGCCCCTGGTGCTAACCCGAGTGTCCGGGCCCCCATGCTGCACAGTTCCATCCCCTTCATGACAATTTCCCTCTTCATACTCCCTTGCTTCTTTGTTAATGTGTTGGTTTTCTCTCTGGCCACTAACCTGTGAGCTCCCTGAGGGCAGGGACGGGGTGGGCACATCCATGCCCAAGAAGTCCTTGCTGAGCGCATCAGCAGAGAAAGCTGCCTTCCTAGCAGCTGGCCTTGCCATGTGGTAAGAAAAGCAGGGTTCTGCATCAGAGATACACAGAGCATCACAATGTCCACTGGGCTGGACATCATCCTTCCATACGACAGCCGAGGAGACTGAGCCGGGGAGGTGACAGAGTCCCTGACGCCCAGTGTGGCCCAGCTCAGGAGCTGGCCCCGAGCTGCGATCTGACCACCTCCACTCCCGGTTCCCCTCCCCGGCCCCTCCGGGTCCCTTCTCCATGCTCTCCCAGGGTCTTTTCCTTACGAGGAAGGTCCTGGGGACAATGGCATGACTAGAGTGACAAATGAGAAAAGAATCCTGTCCACTCCCGGTGGCTGCAGAAAATGAGAGATTCCAAATTATGCCAAATATCCATAAAATACACAAAATAGCGTGGCCCGCTGGGCTCCCTGGAACCCCCAGCCCACGTCTCTCTCCCAAACTCCCACACAGCAGGGCACCGAATCAAGGCCCACCCTGGATGCCTCCACATCTAGTGACAACTCCCTGTCATCAGGGAAGGCCATGACTAGGGAAGCCCCTGACCGGGGCCTTCTAATACTTGTCTCTTCCCCCGTAACACCTAAAGATGTGGATTTCCACGAGTCCAGCATCCTAGCATGCCTCGAGCCTTCGATCGAATTTCACTCGCATGGCCAGCCGTGAGTGAGTCACTGTGTGACCCCTATTTTGCAGAGAGTGAGGCAGGATCGTGGAGGAAGCTGCTGGCCTCACATGGACCAACTGCAGGGCCAGGAAGCACCCCAGGTGTGTCTTACCACCCCACCGTGCCCACCCAGCACAGTGCCAGGTGGTCGGCTAAGGTGGGTGCTGAATTAGGCTCCCCCCAAGATCCACCTGTTGAAGTTCTAGCTCCCAGGACCTCAGATTGTGACTGTCTTTGGAGATGGGCCTTTGAAAAGGTAAGTCAGGTAAAGAAGGGGTCATGAGGGCAGTCCTCAATCTGATATGACTGGGGTCTTTATAAGACGAGACGAGTACACATACACACACAGAGGGATGACCATTGTAGACAGAAGAGGATGGCCATCTACAAGCCAAAGAGAGAGGCCTCAGGAGAAGCCAACCCTGCCGACGTCATGATCCCGGGCTCCCAGCCTCCCCTCCAGAA